ACATTTCAGCTTAATGAGATAAAAACCCAGTTGCTAGAACTAAAAGGTTTCACACCTCAGACCTTCTTCGAAATATGGCTTTATGGAGCTTTATCCATAAGCTCTCCGCCTGACTGGAGACCCAAACACCACAAGTAACATTGATAGTTTGTAACATGATCGGAAGGTTAGGGTCTTCTGTTGAAACTTTCAGTAAACATTTTCAAATGACTCATTGAATTCATTTAGAGCGGTATACAGGGTCTTCCAATGAAAACTTGACCCTCCCTGTAAGTCAGAAATTCTGATATGAAAATCATACCCGAAACTTCATCCCGCTGCGGTCAACAACTACCCCCGTAGTTTTTTCAATGCCATGGGGGTCGAGTGATACATCATTTGGAAGATCTTTTGTCGCTCTATTTCCTCTGTAATTGTTTTTCGAAATTGGTTTGGTCGTTATTGAGAAATTAAATGTTGAACGTTTCATTTAGGAAGAAACAGAAAATTTGCTGTTGTTCATTTTAGTCAGGAAATCAACAACAAAATAATATCAGTGAAAAAAAAATCAACGAATAAATAATCAAAATGACGTCCACCTAGTTCTATACAATAAAACAGTCTATTCTCGAAAACGTTCCATATACATTATTCAAGATGTCCGGAGTCAGCAATCGATATTCCTGAACAATTCTCTGCCGCAAGTCTTCTAGATTTGTAGGTTTAGTAGAGTACATTTTCGACTTCTGGTGCCCCCACAGAAAAAAGTCTATCGGTGTGAGATCAGGTGATCTAGCTGGTCACTCCACTGAACCCTTTCTGCCGATTCACCGCATTGGAAAACGTTCATCCAAAAATTGTTTTACCCGAACATCAAAACGTCCGTTAATGACTTACAGGGGGGTCAAATTTTCGTTGGAACGCCCTGTATGTCAAAAGTATGCGACTAACTATATATAACTACTTTTTCTGGATCAATTTCAAAGTGTCTTCAAATCCCGTTTCCACACCTGAAAAAAAAGGTCAGCATAATAATAATAATGATAATAAATAAGCTTTATTGTCAGAAGAATTAATCTTATTGAAAAAGCGTGTGTGAATAAGATAAAAATGTATACAAGCAAATAGTAAGTCTATATAATTTAAAACCTATCAATACGTATATATACAAACACATATACATATGAAAATGTGCTAAAAGCTATAAGCAGATGTTAAGCATAATAAATTATATTTCCACATGTGTAAAATGTGATAAAACATAGGAATATAAAAATCAGGAGAAAAATTACACAATACATAAAAATGGTACCTGTAAGTAATTGCAGATGCTAGATGGAACTTTTAATTTAGTTTGACATGGTCGGTAGCCAGGCGGTTCGACGTGGGTGCTTTGTTTACTCACTAAAATTGACTGCCGTGTTGGTCGGTGGTTCAAGCTCCAGTCTGAACGATCTATTTTCACTTGGTGTCGTCCATCCCGTGTTAGAAATCACACGTTGAAAGGTAAGACCTCGTTAATCCTTAGGTCGCACAAGTTTCAACTTCTGAGGGGTGCGACAGCTGGTTAACGGAAAAATAGATTTTAAACAGATTTTTTTAAAGTAACATTTACTTTGGGTATGATGTATTTCAGAATAAGTGTTAGTGGAAGTAATCGTCATAAAATTCGTCCAAACTATAATACGGTCTATCAGTATACTCGTATCAGTGTTACGGGTTATCTTAGTTCCAGAGGTTGAGGAAGTAAAAATAAGGAAAAGGATACAGTTTTTTATTTTTGTACTCACTGAACTTTATTATTCAACTTCTACTTTTTACAAAATATGTATATTCAGAGCAGGGATAAGCTGATATTTCCATGATCTATTAACTACGAATGTTTTAACTATTTTTCGTTCAATGCAGCCAATTTTTTCACAGTCTCCTTGAAAAAACCAATAAATACATAGGTACACATGAAAAGAAAAGTAAAATATGAGTAAATAAAGGACGTCTTGATGATTCCGAGCAGCCAATTTTTTCACAGTCTCCCTGAAAAAACCAATAAATACATAGGTACACATGAAAAGAAAAGTAAAATATGAGTAAATAAAGGACATCTTGATGATTCCGAGCAGTTTTTGGCCATGTTTAAACATAACAAACCGGAATTTTTGCGTCGAATGTGACAATGGATGAAACATGGATCCATTACTTCACTTTGGAATCAAAACGATCGTCATCCGAGTGGAGAGAGCAACTGGTGAACCTCGTCCAAGACACCTGAAAACATAACAATTGGTTATTTTGGGTAATTGCGTGCTGTATTATTCATAGACTATCTTGAGAAAGAAAATACCATCAACATATAGCGTTATTGGTTCGTTTGAATGCCAACATTGCAGAAAAACGACTCCATTTGGAGAAAATGACAGTGCTGCTTCATTAAGACAATGTAGTGTCACAAATCAATGAAAACTCTAGCAAAATTGTATTAAATGAGCTTAAAATTACTCCTGCATATACCATATTCGCCAGATTTGGCTCCCAGCGACTATTGGGTCAGTGAGGGTAACATATTTATTCAGTTCAGAATTGATGCAGTCCGTTGCTTCCGCTAGATCACAAAATTCGAAAGATATAGTTGTGTGTCATCTTTAGAAAAATGGCATTCAAATGTTTGTCAGTTACGTATAGAGAAAAGTTGCTAGTGCGAACAGTGGACAATAATGATCCCGAAATACTTCCCTGTGGAACGTCCTGACATTATGTCCAAGGAATCCGAGACATAATCATCTGATTTCACCTGTTACGACCTATCAGATAGATAAGACTTGATAATTGAACAAGCACTTGCCGAAAATCCAATGAATTGTTAGATAGAGAGAAAAATCTCATGTCTTTTAAGGTATCAAATGCCTTGGAGTGACCGAGTGGAACATTATTTTCAAGTGACCTTGATATATCATCAGAAATAGTATACATCAATGATGATGGACAACTGTAGCCAGACCTGAATTCACTCTTATATATATGAAGTATTATATTATCTTCGATATGTGTTCTCATTTGCAGTTCAATAATTTTTTCTAGTACTTTCGATAGGGTTGGCAGCACGATTATACTTCGTAAGTAACTGTGTTTGTTCCATTCTGTAACTGATTACATAAATACATCTAGATTTGAAGTCATTGCTATCAAAGAAAAGTTTTATTTTTTTACTAATTTTTTTAAATGAGGACTACGAAAAAATTTGCTAAAACGATAAATAGACAGCATCCTGTATACGACGGTTTATTTCGGAAGCCTGTAATATCATGAATTAAACACAACTATGGTGTTAACCACGGTCAATTTTTTTGAAGAGTAAAATAATTTTCAAACTTTTTGGTGCAAAGTTTTTTATTTTTTGTTAACACCGAAAATTACTCAAAATTTTACTGTATTGTAACAAGAACTCAATATTCAATAATATCAGATCACAAAACATCAAAATGAAATAAGTATTTCGGAATAAACTCATTGATTTTCTGAAGATTTTTATGTGCAAAATAATTTTCCAAAATAATCTCCAGAAAATCAATGAGTTTCTACCGAAATACCAATTTCATTTTGATGTTTTGTGATCTGATATTATTAAATATTGAGTTCTTGTTACGATACAATATAATTCTGAGTAATTTTCGGTTTTGACAAAAAATAAAAATAACTGCACCAAAAACTTTGAAAATTATTTTTCTCGTTAAAACAATTGACCGTGGTTAACACCATAGTTGTGTAATTTGTAATCTTGGTATACAGGATGCTGTCTATTTATCGTTTAAATTTTTTCCGTAGTCCCATTTAAAAAAAGTGGGTGAAAAATAAAACTTCACTTAGATAGCCATGACTTCAAACCTAGATGTATTTTTTAATGCTGAACAACTTTTCTCGATAACATTTTCCGAAATTTTTCAAAATAAGAGTACTTTACTCTTGTCTCAAAATAAAATATTTGAAGGCTCCTCGTATATTACGTGTGTTTTACTGTATTTTATTGGTGCATGTATAGTTTTAGGAAATGCAAAAACTTTTATCAGGAATAACTTTTTTGTCCCAAATGGTGCATACTTTGGGGATGACACTGTATATGGAGAACAGAGCAGAATCATAATATTTATATTATCAGTGCCGAAAGACTTCGGTTCTACATCGTGAACTATTGTGGAAACCTGATCCTCAGTTGTTTGAGAGAAATGCAAAAAGCTGCGAATGTTGTCTTTGATAGAATTTGAATAATTTACTGTATTAGTTCGAGGTGGTAGGCCATTGACTAGTGCATTAACAAAATAATTATTCAGAATATTGACATCTATAAGACTATCAGGTGATTCAATATGTTTACTTTTTATAACACCCAATTTCCTGAATACCTGCAATTGTTGTTCCTAGAAACAATGTAGGTTTTCAATTTCTGTTGACGTGCCTTGAAACACTTTATATAAAAACTATACTTTCAAAGCTGAATTTATAAACGTGCCTGATTCACAATCAACTTCGAGCATTCACCACTCCAAACATAAAATAACTCTTTCAGTACATGAACGTTTCCTCTTCTCATAAAAAATTCAAATTAACGAAATAAAACTTGTCGGCGGAAAGAAACCAGGTAAAATAACCTGACACGTTTATATAAGTTATGACAGGGATAACATGAACATACATAAAATAAATAAAGCTGGCAATAACCCAAACCCATTTTATGATGGACTGCCTGTAATAATTCCGAAGCCGCGTTCTTTATCCTTCTATCAACGTATTGTTCCACGGGTATTTGTTATTCTATTCCATGTTTTGTATGCTACTGATTACTCCCAGCCTTCTTGGACACCACTCGTCGGCGACTTCAAAGTATCCAGAGGGTCTGTCATCGTCACCAGCTTCATGGGTGGTAGGAGCCGACAGGCCAGAAACGTGGCGGTATTAGCGCTTTGTCATGGCATGGCTTCATCGGCGTAGAGACGGGAGAACCGTACTTGCCATGCGCAGAAGCTGTCAGCGGCCGAGAGAGAGCTCTGTTTTGAACCTGGCTTCATACCGAAGTGAAACGTTGACATAGTACGGTCTTTGAGTTGTCCGCTGTCGCTGCATCGGTTGTTGATTGTTGTTAGACTGTGCGATTGATTGTGTTCCAAATGGTTGTTGTGTTGGAAGGTGGCAGTATGTTGTCCTCAAGTAATCAGTACCTTCAACCGGATTATTTATCTCCTTTGCCTACAACGGTGAGTTTTTAAGACTGTAATTATTGTTTTGGAGTAGTAACTCTTAAATGTGCCAGTACGCACTTATTTTGACCTTATTAGCAATATGTTTTCATTTAGGTACTTAGTGATGTTTACGCAAGCACTGGGAAAGTAATAATCTGTTAGTGTCAAATATATACTCAGACCCGTCGCAGCTGGACTAAGGTTATTATTTTGCTATAGGCTCCCATTTTTCTCTTGTCTCTTCAACACTATTATTTTGTTAAAATATTTCTTCGGAAAAATTTCATTTTTCAGTCAAATATGCAAAAAAATATTGGTTTTCTTGATAATGATTTCATTATTATTAGGATTGATTTTCCGTATTAATTGTTTAATTTCTGTAAATCGCTGTAACGTTTCAAGAAATATTATTTCAATATGGAAAACGTTTGGTAGAATTGTACTGATTGAAGTGAATCATTAAGTTCGGTTTAAGTTTTGCACGTTTCCTTTTTAAGTGGGATCGGTAACTTTTTGATTCAAACACACCTTTTCTTGATCAACTTCATTTCCTCATTTGTATCTAGTATTTTGTCTTTCATTTACTTAATAGTGGAATTTCGTAGTGTCTATTACACCTACATTACTTTGGAGAATTAAACATTGATTCTATTTACTTCATTTCCCCTTTCCAAGATTCCATAATTGATGAATGAATTATGATTTATCTTCTCCTGAAAGCATGAATGTGTTTTTGGTTGAATTCTTCTATGAAAAGAAATAAAATCCTTCTGAATAATTGAATTTTTCGTTTTATAATGTATTGAGTTCGAACTGATTGGTTTTTATTGAATTGAAATATAATATCTGCTTCCACGAACTTCCATCATTTGAAAAGCATGATATTGTTCAAATAGAAAGTGTATCTGTTTCGTTATACGATTTTAGTAATTTCACAGTGTAAACTGGAATTATAAGTTTATTTTTCATTATTATGAATTTGTTTACCCTGGTGTGTGAATTACTTAGTTTTTTACAGAATACTTAGGAATAAAAGGCAAGATAGATGATGTTTTCGTTTGCCGTCGGCAAGCGACTGCATTCATAACTTATAAATTGGACTTCAAATGCGTCTCATTCTTTATTAAAATTTTTTTTTTGAGAGTTCAGGCATCTATTCCAATCCAATAAATTTATGGTTCTTCGCTTTAGGAATCAAAAAGAGCAATTTTGGTTATTTCACCCATTCAAATGCGGTTACCAAAATGAACTGAAACACCATGAAGATTGTGGACTACTTTCATGATGTTTTCCGATAACTTTTCATTACATGTTACATAATGGGGAACAATTTGAGTATCCGACGAATGCACTTGGCATACCTTGGCTGTAATAAATACTTTGGACATGGTGCATTCCTCTCTGTAAATTTCAGACGTATACTAATGCACTCGACTTGTTACTTTTGAAACATTGTTTGGCACGGATCCACCATCCTGAAATAAATGTGGCATGCCAGTTTGGAGTACCATGAATGACAGGTTAGCATTTCCGATGGTATTTCCACTCAGATCCTTCAACAACAGTTCCTAAGTGATCTGTCGTTTCGAGAGATTCAATATCGAGATGTATATTGACATATTTATAATTTGAAACAATTTTTTTGATTGAAAAGATTGCGAGCAAAGAATTTGAAAGTCGTTATTGATGAAATTCCGTCTTTGAGAAATTTTAAAACAAGCAAATTTTATAGCAGTGTGTTATGCAACTGAAAGTATAATACAGGAAACAAACGCATTATATGCTATACACTGGCATATGGATTTTTATCCCAATTAAATTGTGTTTCAATTTGTTATTTCAATTTTGTAGAACCTAAATTGAAGAATTTTATACTGCTCAAAGACACTTTTGCGTTATTTAGTAGGTATTTTCGATAAGTCAGATAATGGTTAGGTCAGTTTGCGAGTATAAGTATGCGCGGTGGTTTTTTTAGAGATTTAATAAACAAATTCTCTGTGTATTGCTCTGAAAGATGAGATCCGGTTTCATTTGCCTTTCTGGCTCAGGTGCCTAAAAATAACGGATCAATGAGTAATTATTTTCATTACCATTCTAGTCTGCAGGATGAAGTTAACAAAATAGTCATTGGGTCAATTCCTCTCACCCAAATGTTCACTAGTGAAACGGAGGGATATTTTCCTCTTTCTGCTGAACGTTTCTTTTCAAAACAGCAATTTTTGACGTTTTCGTTAACATGTTTTAATCCTGGAATAGTCGTATAAAGAGCATGAGGCTTATATTCAAATGAGAGGAGCATTATTGGGTGGTCTACTAAGTACAAATTTCAACCCTCACTTTGCAAATAAATAAATAGACATGGAGATACAAGGGAAGTCATTCTAGGTAGAGGTAACCCCATAAACAACTGAACACCTTTATTCAAAATGACAGAACAAGTTCGGAAGGGCCTTAGAGTGATTGATTGACATTTAAGACCAGATGTTTTGACTTTTTGACGTCTACCTCACTTTTGTAGGTAACTTCATATTTTAACGGTCTGAGTAAAAATAAAAAATTCAATTCAAAGTTGAGGTATTTGCAGCTTTCCTAGTTCAAAAATTGCCATTAAATCAATATTGATAGAAGTGTCCCAAAATATAATAGTTGAGTTCCGATGTAATCGTGTTCTGATGGTCGTTGACTTTTCAGTGTATGAGAACTATTTTCCGGGGTTGGTGGTTCTAGTAGGCCGCTTTTCAGCTAGTAATATGTCGCGTCAGAAATACCTAGATTCCTGTATCATCCATCGCTAAAATTCCAGGAACATGGTCTTGCAAATTTATTATTCTGTTGTATTTCGCTAATTCCTAATGAAAATAGGTAAAATTCCATCCATAAATTCTATGAACAAGTGATATGTGAACACAAACTTTTTGAATAATGAAAAATACATAATTATAAGTAGATACTTACGTATCTACTTATAATTAAGTAATATTCATTACTACACCAAAGGTTCCAAACAGTGTATCACAGGTGAAAAGAAGTTGAGTGAAATTAAATGATACAGTTTTATAATGCATACAATTTCAGTAAGATCTCTTGAACGACTATGAGTTGAAAGTTTTATTGATTGCCAAATTATTTTGATATAATTGCCGGATATATGTACATGTGTCACTTTTATCATCCACACCGATTATCACATTGAACTATTATTTTCTTTATTACAGTCAATTCGGTAAAACGTTAGGAAATCAGAAAACGTCTCTAAGAATGCTGAAGTTTAAAGAATGAAATAAGAAGACATCCGATCACAAATATAGAAATTGAACCATAAAGTCAAACGATATGATGTCATTTCACAAACAAAACAAAAACATTGAGGTCGATTTGAATATTCTGGGAAACATGCTTCATATTTGATAAGTTTTTGGAATCGATAACTGAAGAATTGCGAATGAATTGTGAAAAATTGTAATCCTATAGCTGTTCTTCAATAAGTTTAACTAAATGACTAATATGGAACTCAAAAATTTACCGATAATTAAAGAATAAGATTTTCAATATTCATTTCTGATAAATTATATATTCGATTCAATGTTATTTTTAATATTCTTTATTGTCAATAGGTATTCATATTGAAAAAACGAGTATTTTAGAAATGTACTCAATTGATTAAAATTTCAAAATATCTAAATGAATAGTAAATACAGAACGAATTCAGACAATGTCCAACCAACATTAAAATTTACCCTTTGAACCTTTTATAATATTTTAACTTTTTCTCTAAAATTTTGTTTACTCATATTTACTGTATGTCAACATAAATTTTCATATAAGCCTAAGTATTTATGAAAAAAATCAAGAGATCTTCATAAAACTTTTGTAGGCTACAATATCTTTCAATAAGAAAATCTTAAGTAGTTTTTCGAAACTGATTGTAATTACGTACTTCGCATCATTCGAGACTATATTTTGAAAAACTGATGGACTTAAGGTAGTTACACCTGAATATGTAAGTGTTAAATATAGGTTTCTTGACGTATTTTCTTGTTTAATTCGTCTGAAATATTTTTGTTTCAACGGTGGGTCCTAATTTATCAGATGGTGACTTATTTTATGGAACCTTTCCGTCTTTGTTTGTGAAAACATTTATTCAATATTGGCGTTTTCTGTTGTCAGTCTTTATTCCGTCTACGTCAAATATATATATTTTTGTTTTTCTCTTTTTCGTCAATGTATGTGTGTTATTTGAAAGACAAAGACCAATCGTTAAATGACTGATTTTTCTATTTTGTTACAGCTTGATGCGAAGAAGAGTCCTTTAGCCCTACTAGCTCAAACATGCAGTCAAATAGGCGCCGACAGCCCTTCATCGAAGCCAGTAACTTCACCGCTAGAAAAGTCGAAGAAATCACCCACTGCTGACAGCATTCGCACGTCACCTGGCAAAGAGAAATCCGCCCAACGGCTCACACCCTCGGAAAACAGACTAGTTTTCAAGCCATACGAAACCAATGTAGTGTCTAAGAAGTCAGACGAAACGCGCCCGTCCTCTAAAAGCAGTATGCAAAATTCGACGGACGATAAAAAATCAGATAGACAGAGTCCAGGAAGGAAAACAGTTTCACCCGCAAATTCCTCAGTTTCTCAAGCATCAGATACAGGAAAAAATTCGCCCGATGAGAAATCCAGGACTCCCACTGCTGGAGGGGCTAGCCCAATCATTAGATCCGGACTCGAAATCCTACAGGGCCACTCGAAGGAGTCGGCTCTTGGTGCGTACAAACCTGGTGCCCTGTCATCCGGGCTCAGTGGTAGTTTGAACGGACATTTGAATTCGTTGTGTTGTCCACCGGGTTTGGAGCAGACGAATCCCGCGTTCAGGCCTCCCTTTCCGGGAGCCCCGTATAGTGCTCACCAGCATGCAGCCATGTACGCCGCCGCTGGATATCCAGGTGCCCCTGCTGGTCCTTATCTGAGCTACACTAGAGTGAAGACTCCCTCTGGAGGAGAGGCCTTGGTGCCTATCTGCAAGGATCCATACTGCACCGGTTGCCAGTTCAGCATACAGAACCAACAGCTATTGATGAGCGGTGCCACGGGACCCTGTCCCTCAGGATGTACACAGTGCGACCATCAGAAGTATAACCTAGCCATGGCGATGTCTCTAGTTCCTCCAGGTCCCTCGTCGTTGGCATATTCTCAGCTGGGCCGGCCTTACGTTTGCAACTGGATAGCTGGAGATACATACTGCGGGAAAAGGTTCGTCACGTCCGAAGAACTTCTGCAGCACTTACGTACGCACACCAACGGCACAGATCCTACTGTTAGCTCAGCCGCATCGTCCCTGCTGAACCACTCTTTGTTTTCAACAGCTTCACTTCACCGACAGGGTTATCCAAATGCACCTTTGAGTCCTTTGTCCGCAGCTCGGTTTCATCCCTATGCCAAGCCTTCAATACCAACAACTCTCTCCGCCTCACCTTTCAGTGCGTTCAACCCCACAGCCCTGGGGCCATACTATTCAGCCTACTCCATGTATGGACCACGTTTGGGGGCTGCTGTGCATCAGTAGTGTTTCTAAAATGTCGAGATTTCGTCGAATTTCGATTGTCCATTTGCTGAAAACTGTGATAATTTGTAAATAGATTTGAAGCTGAGCTGAATGACGTGCAATCCGGACAACTTTCGATTTGGTGGGGCAATATTTTGAAGAGCTGTTCGATTCTCGATAGGTCTAACATTTCCTTGTTTTTATTATTTTAAAACTCATTTGTATAGATATTTAATTGAATGTTGAGTTTCGATGATGCTTTAATAAAATGTTTGTAAATGTATACTTTGTTTTATTGCAGATGAAAAATAAAAGAGAGATAGGAGACAAGACACAAAAGACAAGGAAGTATTTTTTTTCAGCTGATTATATTTCATTTGAAATTAAGAAATCGAAATTTTACATGAGATTCAGAAATCACCTCAAGTAACATTAATGAGTGATATGAAGAGATGAAGGCAGTGAATTCAAGGAAATACATTGATTACTCGATTATGATTAATTTTGTCGTGTTAGGCAATGAATATTACTGGAGCTATTTTTAACACCTTGACACGTGTTTCAATCACCAAGTGATCATCTTCAAGACAATGATTAAACTCAAGTTATAAAAGGTTGAACTTGAGTTTAACCTTCTTGAAGATGATCATTTGGTGAAACACTTGTCGAGGTGTTGAAAATAACAGTTTGGTGTTGGGATAAAACTCCAGTAATATGCATTACTACACCAATGATTTCAAACAGTACATCACAAATGTTGGGCACATTTTTTTTCAGATTTTTTTGATAATTTTAATTCCAGGGTCACCAACACTTGGTAATCTGTAATATTTCGAAGTAAATACTTTATGAGAAGTATGAAAAATTGTCGAGCCAATTTTATGTCATTTCTCGGCTCACCTTTTGATAAATAGTATTTTTCGAACATTAATTGGCACTCCGGGGCGACTTCATTGATTCCAGTGGCGCATTTGCTTTTTCAGCTGCAGGAAAACCCGGAAAAACCTGCAGCACCACATCACATTTTCATTTCAATCTCAATATATCATAAGTGTGAATACCATGTGACATTCTTCATTTTTCTTCAACTAAATGTTGATATGAGGATCCTACTTGTTATGTGTTCCCAGACAACACATGGACAGCCGAAGAATATCCAGTAAACTTACAATTTATGTCTAGAGATAATTCTCCAACCTAGATTTCTTGAAGAAGAGACAATAAAATTAGAGAAATTGAAAGTTTTATAATTTAGAAGAATTTACTGTTCATTATTATTCATAATTATCTATTATTATATATACATACCAAAAGGACCAAATACAAACCAAGCTATTCAATTGAGACCAATAAACATGATTAATGCTACAGCTAAAGTATTGAAAAGGGCTGTATATGAACAGATAGTGGATTATTTGGAGAGTAGTAGGGTCATTTGTATCAATCGTGTTTTCGGAGCAAACATAGTTGTGAAATTGCGTTACAATGTGTTTTAACAGATTGGAAGAAAAGTGCGGAAATGGATCAGTATACTATTGCAGTATTTCTTGACCTTCAAAGGACATTTGAAACTGTAGATAGATGCAGACTGATTAGAAAAATTGTAAGCTTAGGTATTGATGGAATAGCACTAAACTGGATCATAAATTATCTGAGCAATAGACAACAAAGGTTGAAAATAGAGTTTACTGCAAAATTATATAGGTGTACCCCAAGGGTCTACTTTGGGACCATTGTTATTCCTCATATATTTAAATGACATTGTAACCATAGCAGAACAATGTAGAATTCACCTATTTGCCGACGATACCCTACTGGATTTTAGTAGTGAAGATCTACATGAGTGTGTTGATACTATAAACGCTAGCCTTCAAAGGGTGTATAGATATTGCTCTGCAAATCTGCTGAAGGTGAACGTAAATAAAACAAAATGGATGTTATTAGGGAAACATAGAGATCATAATAATGAAAACCTACTTCTACGATTGAATGACAGTAATATAGAGAAGGTAAAAAAAATCATGTACTTGGGTGTAAATATTGACAGCAACTTGAAATTCAAGGAACATGCTTATCAAGTTATGAAAACAATATCTTACAAAATCAACTATTTAAGAAGATATTTCCCATATATGAGCCAATGGGCTAAATTATCAGTCTGCAACTCCATAATCCTTCCACATTTGAATTATTGTTCTACCATTCTGTTTTTTCTCTATTAAAATGAAATAAACAGAATCGTGCTTTGCGAATGATCTTACAATGTTCGAGGATAACTACATAGCAAATATTTTGCAAACCCTTCAATGGCTACCAGTGAAAAAACTCTTTGAGTACCAAACACTAATTTTTATTTTTAAAATGAAAATTGGATATTCACCTGTATATCTACAGAATAAATTAATTTATGTGGCTGAAATACATGGGCATAAAAGTTGAAAAACATTTAAAAAAATAGTACACATTATTCTTTATTTTATATAGAAGTAGATTGTTTTAATGACCTCCCACGCCCACAAGAAATTAGATAGTGGTTTGATGAATATTTTCAAAAGACGATTGAAGGATTTCTTAATGAAAATATAGTATATTCCTATGTATGACTTTCTAATGTAAGTTTTTATTTATACATATGTATTTTTAAGCAGAATGTTTGTATTTTTTACATCGAAATTATTTTATTTATAATGTGAGAATGTTATTCACTATTGTTAATGAATTAGTTTTTTAACTAAATTATATATATTTGATAACATTTGGTAAAATACTTATTTATTGATTACATTGTTAATCATTGCCAGTATCTATTTGTGTGAATGATTCATGTTGAATGATAAATATTCAACATGAGCAAGATGCCATCTCGTATGTTTCGATTAATGAAGGTATATTTTTTTGACACTGTAAAATAGAGTGGGAGATTCTAGTGCAAAAAGTCACGTGGAGTAATGTTCGAATACCTTGTAGGCTACTGATTCAGCTTGATTTGCAATTCATTTATTGGATAAATGGCATTGTAATTATTGAAGAAAGGTGCCGAATATTTGGTTTGGATACCTTCTGGCCCCCACATACTCGTACTCGTAGAAATTAAATAGAACCTGTGTAAATGTTGAATAATTTCGTGACACCAAACATGTGAATCATTTCTGCGTAACATTTTGCAATTTATGAATGTGCTTTCATCAATTCGAATCACATTGGGAACCGGCAACTTTTATTATTTTTGATAATCGTAGATCTCGTCGTAGATATCACATCATTCGTCAATGAAAATTTACTGTCTTTACGGAATTTATAGCTCTATAGCGATTTGCCAATTTCAGGCAATGATTTTTATTATTCGTGTATCTAAAAAGTATTTTTGTTGAATAATACTAATGCAAATTGTGCTGCTCCATGACATTCTCTTCAATTTGTTTGAATAGTTTTTATTCCGATAGATACTTTATTCTGGTATATATGTTACATTCACGTTAATTTTGATCTAATATTTCGAACAAACTTTTACTTGGCTTGTGTCTTTCTATCATCACAGGCCTTGTCAATATGATGCAGACATTGTATATACTACTTTCCTTTAATTTCCCCTCCTTTTATTTTAATGCATGAATACTTTATTTTGAAGTGAAATTGACAGATGAAACTTTCAAGATTACAACTGGGTGCCATCTGGAAAAAAAAAATTAAATGAGAAAGGGGGTCTTCTGACACATCTTTTTGAAGCTCCTAACAAATGCTTCACAATCCTAGAATATGATGTCAATATCTTACACTAGGTACTACAGAATGACGGAACTTTTAATAATTGCCTGAATACATTGACATTTAACTACATAATATGAGGTAATAAGCTAAAGGTCAGTTCAGAAGATGCTCGAAATGAGTGTCTTGAATTTCTTGACATATGAACAGCCTATCCGATGTTTCACGCCGAAGATTTTCGAACACAGTAACGTCAATATCTCTACAAATATTTATTGTTCTCTGCCATGTATCCAATATTGAAGCAGGTTCAGCCTCATACACCTTTTGCTCAAATAGCCCCATAAAAAAAGTCTAAAGGTGTCAAATCTGGCGAGCGGGCTGGCCATTCTGTAGGACCTCGATGGCCAATCCAACGACCGGGAAAAGTAGTATCCAAATAGTTTCTTACTTTTCTGTGGTAATGTGGTGGTGCTTCATCCTGTTGGAATGCAATATCCATATAGAATTCATTAGGATTCGCTTCGACGATTCCAGTGATAAGAGGGACAACAGTAGTTTCCAGCATATTCCAATACAGTTCCCCTGTTGAATTTTGATCAATACAATATGGTGTCCCAATATTCCTGCCCAAACGTTAATTTTTTCTGGATATTGGGTATGTGTTTCCCGAAAAACGTGAGGGTTGTTTTCACTCCAATAACAGAAATTTTGTCTGTGAACATATTACCGTTTAACAAAAATGTACATTCCTCACTAAAACAAATATTGTTTCGCAATATGATTTCGCAGATTTCTGTTTTTCGATCAGGGTTATCTACAGTTAATTGGTGTACCATTTTAATTTTGTATGGATGATACCTATTTCTCTTTAAAAGTCTCCACATAATAGAAGGATACACCTCACAAACATTCGCGACGGAATAAGTAGATTGTTCAGGATTTACTACCATCTCACCAATTATTTGCACTTGCTGTTCTCCCGGAAATCTGTTCTTCGATCAGGGTCATCTTCAGTTACCTAATTGGTGTACCATTTCAATTTTGTATGGATGATACCTATTCTTCTTCAAAAGTCAAACATTCGCGACGGAATAAGTAGACTGTTCAGGATTTAACAATATCCGGAATGGACGGATGATCTGGGGGCTTTTTGTTATGTACACTACCGGTAGTTGTGAATTTGGATACAAGTTCCCTCAAATATTTTCTACAGATAGGAAGATTCGGGAAACGTTTATTGAAAATCCTTTCGGTCTCGTGAAAGTTACGCGTCGCACCGTAAATAAAAATCGCTTCAATTTTTTCCTTCAATGGACGAGAATTGACCATTTTAGAGATTGTTAACGTTGTACCTTTCTACTAGTAAAACCAAAAACTAAATGAGAATATTCTAACTGAACAATGACGTTCATTGTAGTACTGACATTTTTTGTCGTTTTTATTAACAAAAAATAACTTTACAAACCTTATCGGGTTGTTGGAATTGCCATATGACAGATAAAAAGGGATATTTCAGGCAATTATTAAATGTTCCGCCATTTTGTAGTAGGTGAAGATATTGACTTCATGTTCTAG